TAAGTAACTTGAGCCAGGCATTATATAGGCACTGGGGACACAAGTGATCCAGACATAATAAGGTCCCTGTTATATCTCTCTTTTTTTTTTTTTTGAGAAAGAGTCTCTCTCTGTCACCCAGGCTGGAGCACAGTGGTGAGATCTTGGCTCACTGTTGCCTCCGCTTTGAGGGTTCAGGTGATTCTCCTACCTCAGCCTCCTGAGTGGCTGGGATTACAGGTGTGTGCCACCATGCCCAGCTAATTTTTTGTGTTTTTAGTAGAAACAGGGTTTCACCATGTTGACCGGGCTGGTCATAAACACCTGACCTCAAGTGATCTGCCCATCTCGGCCTCCCAAAGTGCTGTGATTACAGGCATGAAGCTACCATGCCCAGCCCCCTTGTATCTCTTATGTTATGACTGGGGAACATGATAGGTAGATGTAGCCATTAAAGTTTATGTTTCCAAATGATATTAAGGAGTTGGGGAAATAATATAATAATCTGACATCCCATTAAGTAAAAAATATAATGCCTTATTTTGTTAAGCATTTATAGCCTATGTATTTATACACCAAAAAAGAGATAAATTTACTAAATAAATAAATAAACGTTAAAATCCTAAGACAAAAATATGCTGAATAAAATACACTATTTTATACAAAAATTTGCTGGGTGTGGTGGTAGACGCCTGTAATCTTGGCTATTCAGGAGGTCACTGAGGCACGAGAATTGCTTGAACATGGGAGGTGGAGGTTGCTGTGAGCCAAGATTGTGCCACTGCACTCCAGCCTATGCGATAGACCAAGACTCTCTTTCTCTCTCAAAAAAAAAATCAATTATTTTGCACATTATTTATAGTTACTAATGTGTTCTGTCGAAGTGTCTAAAATATCTGAAATAGGTTAATATATATGAAACAGGTCCGTAAGGACTAGCATGTTTTAAATGTTTAAAAGTTTCGTGTTCGATTCTTCTATATTTTATCTTTCTTCATGTAAAATCAGCCTTAATTCACAGAAAGAGAAATATTCTATGTACTTATTCATATCTGGGAGCTAATAAAGTTGATCTCATGGAGATAGAGTGTCAAATGGTAGTAACCAGAGGCCAGGAAGGTTAGGGAGGAGAAAATGAAGAGAGGTTGGTTAATGGGCACTATAGTATAGTTATATAGGACAAGTTCTAGTGTTCAGTAGCATAATGGGGTGACTATTGTTATCAATAATTTAGCTATTTCAAAATAGCTAGAAGAGAAAATTTGGAATGTTCTCAATGTACAGAAATGGTAAGTATTTGAGGTAATGAATATCCCAGTTACACTGATTTTATTAACATCGTATGCATATATCAAAATATCACATGTCCCCCATAAATATGTACAGTCATTTGAATCAAGCTTTTCAAGCTGTATTGCTTTCATTTATAAAGTTTTTCAGTAGTTACATTGTAGTTATCTTTAAAAAGCAGATTATGTTAAGACTTTGATAAGTTACTACTTTTTATAGGAGGTAATAGTACCTTTCGTTGCTGTATTTTTAAGTGTAGTGTTTTACCAAGGAATTAAGTGTTCAAAAGAATATTTTCTAAAGTGGATTTTAAAACAGTATTAATGCTATTTGTTCTTGAGATTTGTGGGTTAAGTTAGGAAATGCTGTTTTAAGAGTCTAAAGTTAAGGTTTTCAGCCAGGCACAGTGGCTCACGTTTGTAATCCCAGGACTTTCAGAGACTGAGGTGGGCGGATCACTTGAGGTCAGGAGTTCCAAACCAGCCTGGCCAACATGGTGAAACCCAATCTCTACTAAAAATACCAAAATTAGCCAGATGTGGTGCACTCCTGTAGTTTCAGTTGCTCGGGAGGCTAAGGCAGGAGGATAGCTTGAGCCCGGGAAGGTGGTTGCAGTGAGCCAAGAATGTGTCACTGCACTCCAGCCTGGGCAATGGGAGTGAAACCTTGTCACAAAAATAAATAAAGTTAAGGTTTTCATCTTTACATTCCCATTCTCTTGCTTTTTGATAAATTTAAGCTCTTATCACTTCTAAAATATTATAATATGTACAATAAAACTTAATGTTATTCTACATTGAACAAACATTTATTAAATGACTGCTATTTCAAGTTACATACTGGTTGCTGGGGCCAATTGCAAACTAAGACATTCATTGCCCGATCTAGAAGATAAGTATAAATACAAATTACAGGACAGTATGGGGAGTGAGAAAGTGAGTGACATTTGTGCTCGTTCATTCTTTCTGTAAGTCAGTCAGTAAACATATGAGGCATCTACTTTGTGCTGGGAAGAGTAGAGTACAATTTCTTTTCTCACAGGTTATAGAAGGGACAACTTTAGAAACAAGTAATTACAGTAATATGGTAGCAGAAACATGAGGAATGCAGCTTGGAAACACAGGAGGAAGTGATTAATTCTGCTTTGTGAAATTGAGGAAGACTTCAGGAGGAAGTAATATTTGACCCTAGTCCTGAAGGGTCTATACAAATTAATCAGGTAAAACAGAAGGAACTCCATGTGCAAAGAACTCAGGAAGGCTACTTACTAGATAGTAGCTTTGACTGGCGTCAGGTACATGAGGAGACCATGTTGGTGAGAGCTGAAGCTGGAAAGGTAGCCTTGCCTATCTGTGGAGATGGCACTTTATAGACCAATGATCTATAGCAGCACTGTCCAGTAAAACTTTGTGGTAATGCAAATGTTCTCTGTACTGTTGAATATGGTAGCCACTAGTCATATGTAGCTATTGAGCCTCTGAAAGGTGACCAGTGTGTCTTAGAAACAGCATTTTACTTATTTACATGTGAATAGCCACATGTGTATATTAACCATGTTTTCAATTTTCTGTATTTTATGATGCTTTATTTAACATCTTAGTGGCCTTGTTGACTGTGGAGACAATTTAATTCCTAGAGATATTAAATAACTTGCCTGTGAGCATGCCTTTTGTATGCAAACCAACCAGTCCAAAGCCCATGCCCCTAACCACCTCCTTTATCTAACTCTTACACATGAAGTCAGTATTTCCCCTGTCCTAAATCACCCCAAGGACAATTAGGAGACAACTAGGGACCGCTGCTGTTGCCCAGAACCCACTAAGCTAGGAAGTCCTAAACCATTTCTTGCCTTGCCTTTTCCATGGAAACCACAATAAAGGCCTATGCCCATGCTTTTCCCTTTCCTCTTTCTTCCTTCTGATTAACCCTAGTACCTCCTCATGTGGCCCTGCATTGCATAGTGTATCTCTTCGTCTTGGTAACTATAAGTAATAAACTGTTATTTCAAGGCAGTTTCTACAAGTCAGTCATCCTACCATACCTGATTAATAGAAATTCTTGGGTACACATCTAAACAGTATGGCTATTGGTGCCCATATCGAGTAGCACAGATCTATACATAGGCCTCCTTCTCCCCCAGGAAACAGTTCTGTCATTTCCAGAGCTTTAATTCACTCAAAGAATCTATTTGGAGTATCTCCACTTTAGTTATGAGAATGTGATAGCCAACATGACAGGCAAAGTACATACTTTTACAGAGTTTTATTCTGGTAACGCCAAGATTATATTGCTGAAGATTTTCACCAGATAGCATTGTCAAGTTCTTGGGCAAAATATTTTTTTCAAAGGAGTTGCTAGTACTTCCTCACCAATCTCTATAATCTCTAAATAAAAGCTACCATTTATTGTATCTTCTCTGCCAGCCACTCTTATAGGTGCTATCTATGCAAATGGTAGGTAAGTAGGTTTTTTCATTTAGATTTCTTTGGCATGATGTCATATCAAAAATAATTCCATTTTGGAAGAGTTGGTATTAAGTCTTTCAATAGTAAAATAGTACAGTTATTTCTTAAGAGTAGTTTTACCACGAGAGGAACAGATTTTAATTTTAGATCTATTGGGTTTGATTAATGAGAACTGACAACAGGCTTTGGATTTAGGCTGTCCTGGACTAAACCTGCTTAGGCTACAGTTTTCTTATATGTAAAATGGGAATAATAATGATGCCTACCAAATATAGTTGTTAAGCTAACATAGTGTTAAATGAGCTAGTGCCATTATACTCTTAGCATAATCTGATCATTTATCTTTAATATTTATTAGCATGTATTAGTATACTTCCCGTTTTTCTCTTTTCTCAACTAAGCAATTTCTGAATAGTGCCTAGCAAGGTATCAGATTAGGCATTCAGTGAAGGAAGTTAACTGATAATTCTGTAAGAACAGAAGGGAGCCCGGCAGAGGCAGGGCGCTAGCAGACGTTTGTTAAATGTGTGTTGAAACATTTATCTTGGTTTCCTGGTATGTTTGTCTCCACAGGCATAGCGACTGTTTCATTTATATCACTTATATTCCCTGTCCTCTTAAGACAGGCTGGGTACTCCAAAAGGCTTTAAGTGCAGTTTATGGAGTGAGATGTATGTTAAAAGGAGAACATTTAACATAGACAGTTTCAATGTATTCCTTAAAAACAGTAGCTTTTACACAATATTTTAGTGCACTTTAGCAACATTTACCAAAAATGTATGTTAAAGCATCAGAGGACATGTTCTGTTTGATATTATGAATCAGTGGTAAAAATTTTGCAGATATTCTGTTGTATGATTTTAGACATAGTATTAAGGAGATGTGAGTTGAAATGCTTTCTAGATCTATAAAATATATCATATATTGAATTTTATTTATAATTATCATAATCATAATTCCTAAAATAAAAATAGACAAACACAAATAGACTTGATGTGGACAATGAGAGAATATTTGAGATGAAACCTATTTCTGAAAAGTTAGGTTTCTAGTTTTACAGGTCTCAAATTAGCCCATAAGTAAAATAAGGCGGTCCTTGGTAGAGCTGGCTTGATTGTGTTGTTTATTCACAGTTTTATGAATCCATTAAAAAGGAATTAATGTGAAAAGTAACATATAAAGAATAAGCTCAAGAATGAACCTAGACATGCTATTTTGAGTTATTTTCCAAAAGCACTACAGATTCTGACAAATTTACATGTTTAGTTTCAGAATGGCTTCGGTTATTGCCTTTCCTTGGTGTACTTGCACTTCTTGGCTACCTTGCAGTTCGTCCATTCCTCCTGAAGAAAAAACAACAGAAGGATAGCTTGATTAATCTTAAAATACAAAAGGAAAATCCGAAAGTAGTGAATGAAATAAACATTGAAGATTTGTGTCTTACCAAAGCAGCTTATTGTAGGTGTTGGCGTTCTAAGACGGTAAGATGTCTGTTTATATGCACACTGAAGTTTTGTAGTGATAGGATTGTTTTGCCTCTTAGATCTCCAGTTTTGAAGTTCTGTAAGATGAGAGACTTTTCTGTAATATTTGGTATTGAAAGATCATATTCCTAAATTGAAGTTTTATTTCATGATAGATACTACCTACATTAGGAAAGTTGGAGCAGCAAAGAAAAATAAAAATCTCATGCTTTTGCAATGTTTGGCATTTATCTAGAGTAACATGTATTTTAAAATACACATTCTTTGAGGGAGGACGTAAGGTTTAGTGGAAAAGAGCTTTGATGTCATAGTAAATAGTGTTCAAATATGATACTTGTCACAGTATGGGTTTGGTTGGACAAGTTATACTTAATTTTTAATCTCTAATCTTCAGGGTTTGTTTTAATCTGATGTGACAGTATATGTTTTTGAGAAGTAAGATGATTTATAGATGATTTTTAATGAGGGTATGAGTTTAGAGCGATAAGTACTATAAATAGTTGACAAAAATCTGTTTTTTTGTACTTGATCATAGATTATTTGAGGTTTTGTTTTGTTTTGTTTTTTGAGATGGAGTTTCGCTCTTGTTGCCCGGGCTAGAGTACAATGATGTGATCTCGGCTCACTGCAACCTCCACCTCCTGGGTTCAAGCGATTCTTGTACCTCAGCCTCTCAGGTAGCTGGGATTACAGACACGCACCACCACGCCCAGCTAATTCTGTATTTTTAGTAGAAATGGGGTTTCTCCCTGTTGGTCAGCCTGGTTTCAAACTCCCAGTCTCAGGTGATGCACCCACCTCGGCCTCCCAAAGTGCTGGGATTACAGGTGTGAGCCACCGCGACCAGCCCTATTTGAGGTTTTAAGTGTGTCAGTATATTTGAGGTTTATTGTTCGTCACAGCATCCTTTGTAATAGCAAAATTTTTATAAACTAAATATCTGATAAAATAGGACTGATCATGTTTTTAAAGGATATATAATAACATGAGATCCTGATATAATACAAGTAAGAAAGCATATTACAGTAAGATCCCAATTTTGTTTAAAACATGAATACACATAGTGAATGCAGAGGAAAAAATATACCAAAATGTTAATTATTACCTATATCTTGATGGGTTATGAGTGAATTATTTTAAATTTATTATTATTATTTATTTGTTTTTGTTGGGGACAGAGTCTTGCTTTGTCACTCAGGCTGGAGTGCTGTGGCATGACCTTGGCTCACTACAACCTCCACCTCCTGGGTTCAAGCATTCTCCCACCTCAGCCTCCCAAGTAGCTGAGACACAGGCATGTGCCACCATGCCCGGCTAATTTTTTTATTTTTAGTAGAAATGGGGTTTTACCATGTTGGCCAGGCTGGTCTTGAACTCCTGACTTCAAAGTGATTTGTCCACCTCCACTTCCCAAAGTGTTGGTATTGCAGATGTGAGCCACCATCCCCAGCCTAAAATATATTTTTAATTGTTTTCAAAGATTGTGTGGTATGCATGAGTTTTATAGCAATAAAAAATTATGTTATTTTGAATTAAATTTCATTCTTTTAAAATTAAGCAAGAGGTGAGCTTGAATTTTAAGCTCCACAAATGACCAAGAACTTACCTGATTTTCTTTTAAACCTGTTGTCTATTTTAGTCACTCATATGGAATCAGTCATAGGTTTTTATTTAAAATCTAAATCAAATAATGAAGTAATTATTTAAATTGTTAGATTTTGAATGTGGTCAGTTGGATGTAGAATATATCTATTATTCAGGAAAGCAATCTGATTTTCTTTTTTTAGCATGTGATGTGCTTTCTTTCTGAGAGCATTTCACAAATGTTTCTACCTAATGAATCATATTTTTAACACTCATAATTCTTTTTTCTTTTTAGTTTCCTGCCTGTGATGGTTCACATAATAAACACAATGAATTGACAGGAGATAATGTGGGTCCACTAATACTGAAGAAGAAAGAAGTATAATAATAATAAATTAGGATTAATTGTATAAAATCTTATAACAATATTTTCTCATTCTTTGTGTATAGAAAATTTTTAAATGGTCTTAATTATTACTACTTGTTGAACAATTATTTCTTCCAATTTATTTTCTTGCTGCACCACTGTTTGATCCTTTGAATATTCAGTCATATATAGAAATTAAATTGTCAAGCCTCTTATTCTGACTTCAAAGAATTAATGTATCTTCCAAAAATAAAATCACTTCTGATTTTAATTTAGGAAAACCTAACTTGTGGCTATGGATCCAAAGCTATTTGTTTCTTTGAATATCAATGTATTCAACAGGATCTTGTATTTAAATTCCCACCCCCTACACTGTTAAATGTATTATTTTTTCACATCTCTTTTGGTTTTGATAATCTGAAGTGTTTTTTTCTCCTTTTGGCCTTCCACACTTCATTGTGTTTAGATGATGAATTATGTAAAGAAAAATATTGCCATCAGGAATTACTTTTTGGTCGGGTGCGGTGGCTCACGTCTGTGATCCCAGCACTTTGGAAGGCCGAGGTGGGCAGATCACAAGGGCAGGAGATAGAGACCATCCTCGCCAACATGGTGAAACCTCGTCTCTACTAAAAATACAAAAAAATTAGCTGGGTGTGGTGGTGCACGCCTGTAGTCTCTGCTACTCGGGAGGCTGAGGCAGGAGAATTGCTTGCACCCAGGAGGCAGAGATTGCAGTAAGCCGAGAGTGCACCATTGCACTCCAGCCTGGGCAACAGAGTGAGACTCTGTCTCAAAAAAAAAAAAAAAAAAAAGAGAATTACTTGTATTTTAACAGAGGTAGTCTCTTTGCTTTATAGATTGTTGTATATTTAATATGAATATCCCAACTTTAGACTTTAGAAAAGAAGTAAACTGGATATAAAAAGTTCCATTCAGGAACAGTTATTCACAGTATAAAAGATTTGTTTAGAAAAGGCTTGTGTCTGTGTGTATATTTTAAACTATTTGACTCAGTGACAGCTGGGGTGGAATGGCAAGAACACTTACAACCAAACTTATGGGCTGCTGCAGTTTGAAGATCAGTTAGTAATAAACCTAAGGCATATCTGAATTCGTATTAATATGATAAATAGTTAAGTGTTCAAAATTGTGCTTATGCATATTTCTCTTTTTAACACTATAAACCATTAAAACACAGTCATCCCTTGGTTTATGCTGGGGATTGGTTCCAGGGCCACACATACACCAAAAGCTGCCCATACTCAAGTCCTGCAATAAGTCTTGCAAAACCCATATGTAGAAAAGTTGACCCTCCAATTGACCCTCTGTACACAAGTTTCACATCCCAAGCACAAACACTGATCTGTGTGACCTCACCTGCTTTTGATTGAAAAAACTGTGTGCAGAAGTGTACCCACCCAGTTCAAACCCACGTGTAAGGGTCAACTGTACAAAAAAGTTTGTAAAATAAATGTACTGGAGAATCTTTAAAACATTTGTAATTTTAAATTCTACTATTAGTAGTCTTTTTAATTTCATCTTATATTACTAATAATAGCTATCCTTAGCCAGGTGCCATGGCACACACCTGTAGTCCCAACTACTGGGAAGATTGAGGTGGGAGGATGGCTGCAGCACAGGAGCCCAGGAGTTCAAGGCCAGGCTGGGTAACATAGTGCTCTGCCTATGCTGGGCTCTATAGGGAATCCTTTCTGTTCTTAAAGAGTTATCGTTTAATTTCCTTCATTGAGTGCATTTCTGATACCTTGCTAGGCATTATGGAAATTGCTTAGTTGAGAGAAGACAAATACAAAAGCTTTTCTTCAGTCTATTTAAGATATAATTCATTCAGTTCACTTTGCTTTCTTTTTATAAGAAGGTACAAGAGGCAGACAGAGGTAATCCTTCTAGTAATAAAACTAATGGTTATTGAGCACTTGTATGTACCAGACACTACAGTAAGCATGGTACTTGGGTTTTTAATTATTACATATAATGTCAGTAGGTTCAATTATATGATCATAACTTCCTTGTGATCAGCAGCATGTATTTTAGACTTAGAAATGTAGTTGTGGATTTTGAGAAGTTTACAAGGTATATGGTCCAAAATTGTTGTTCTTTCCTCACATGTCAGTGGGGGATAAATATAGCATTCTCTCACTTCTCTAATTCTGGGTATTTTTTTTTTGGATACCTTTTCTTCAGTACTTTTAAGGGGCCTCACTGTCAGATTAACCAATTATTTTTCCACAGTTAGTCATAAGACTTTGTAAAAAAATCCACCTCACCAAAACTTCGGATATCCTGGTCTGTGGTCATGAATTACTTTTCTTTTTGTAAAATCATTCACTGTAGCTCACAGCAACATGTTTTCACACATGTTCTAGTGGTTCCCATAACTTAGATTTCACAGGAGGTAAATTTACTAAAAACGAGGAGACTAAACTGAAATGACCAACTTTTAATTTTGCTAAATAACATCTTAAAAATTGAAAATGAATTATCTCATAAAAGGTAATTTTAATACCCCAAAAGTAAGATGGTTATACTCTCAGAATAAAGACTTTTTCCCTGGCACATTTTCAGTTGTTAAAATACGCTAAGAGTTTTGCCCCCTATCTTTTCCTACCTGTGCAAATTTTTCAGAAGCCTAGGGTTGGTAGTAAGCTGTTACGTTAATAACTCCTTTAAGCATTTAAGCATTCAGTTGCCATTACTTGTAAATTTGCACAATTTTATCTTGTCTGCCTTTAAAAACTAGACATCTAATAACCAAATATATTTGAATTGATACAATAGAAGTAACTTGTAGAACTTGAGGATAAGTGGTAAAAGAAAAAAAAAAGTAATTTGGCTCTTGAAATACATGTCTTGGGTTTCTAGAACCTTCAAAAAGCAGCCCTATTGTTACTGTGTCATATTATGATTGTTTTGAGGGCTGCATCTGCTTACCTGGGAAACTACTCATTACTCAGCAAATGAGCACCACCATTACATAAACACCAGGTATCCAAAAGTGTTAGCAGGCTTGAAGTATGAATGATTCATTCATATGGGCAATTAAACAGGTTGAATTATGGAAAGCACATCACAATTCAGCTTTGAGTTCAATGCCAAATATGATGATTCATTAAGTTGCCTTTGTATTTTGTAACCTAATTTGTTAATAAGTTACAGGAAGCCAATTAAGCCAGCTGCTGATCTATATAGTTCTGTCCTAATTGTGATTCCATAGTCTTCCAATAGAAATGTGCTATCAGACTCTGTATAGAGTTTATAAACTCCACTATTTAACAAGGTTCTTAAGAATTTAGGTGGATATTTTATTTGATACCTACCAAATAAACCTAACTAATCGTATAATACTTTGCCCATTTAGAATTCAGTTGTGGCAGCATAACCAATCTGGAGAGACTAGGGGACATGTTACTAATGCTTGTACTTCATTCAGAAGTGAGTGCCTCATTGGCTTGGTGCAGTGATTACACACCTGTAATCCCAGCGCTTTGGGAGGCTGAGGTGGGTGGAGCACTTGATCTCAGGAATTCTATACCAACCTGGGCAACATGGTGAGATCTCATCTCTACAAAAAAATTAAAAATTGGCACAGTGGTGCACCTGTAGCCCCAGTTACTCTGGAGGCTGAGGCACAAGAATCTCTAGCTAGGAAGGGCAAGGTTACAGTGGGCCAAGATTGTGCCACTGCACTCCAGCCTGGCCAACAGGAGTGAAACCTTATCTTTTTTTTTTTTAAGTAGAGTTTTTTTGTTTTTTTTTGTAAAGTAGACTTTTTTTTTTTTTTTTTAAATTTGTAATGGTAGTCGCAGCAGTTGGCCAGAATCTACTTACTCTTACTTCACACTGAATTCTAATAAGTTTGGTTATCTGAGTTCTGCTTCTTAACAAATCCCAAGTACTGAAAGGGTCTTGCAGAAGTGGGTAAACTATAAAATGTGACAGCCAACAGCAGGGCAGGGGAACAAAAATAAATTTAAGGTGAACATTAAAAGCATAGCAGCTTGAGACAGTTTAATACAGGATTCTGCATGCAACTGTCTCTGAGGATGTTACTGTGATCAAATTATATAAGAGATGTTTAGTGATGAACTGGAATCAAGATAAGTAGTATGTGTTATTTACAAAGTCAGGATATGTGTTTCATTCGGTGATAACAATTTCCCCATAACTATTTAGTTAAAAGCTTAGTGCTTAACATGTTGGAAAATTTATGCATAAAATATATTGACTCATTCCTTGATGACCGGAGGCTTCATCACAGGAAGTTCTTCCGTTCAATTGAAACATTTTTCAGGCTTAATGACTATAATTAACTACATAATTTAATTTGTTAAAGTTTGAGGAAGACTGAAACAATAGCAATTTAAACCATAATAAATTTTGTTAGATAATTTCTTTCACTTTAGGGGGAATTAAAACTCATGTTTAAAAACCATATGAGCAGCAGTTCTGTGACTGCCTCAACGCCTGGCTGACCATATTAGTCCCTTTGCACTGCAGAGGTTGGAATATAGAATATGGCCTAAGCTGTTTTGTTTTAACTATGCTGCATTATCTGAGGTTGTGTTATAATTTGTCCTAATAGTCTTTTCCTGGAAACTTGCTATATTTTATCATGTTCAGCAAGCAAACTAGTTTTATCTACTTCTACATATTTTGAGACCAAGTCTGGTTCTGTCACCCAGACTGGCATGTGGGGGCATGATCATAGCTCACTGCAGCCTCAGCCTCCTGAGCTCAAGTGATCCTTCCATCTCAGCCTCCCAAGTGCTGAGACTACAGTCTTGCTTCACCATGCTTGGCTATTTTTTTTTTTTTTAACCTGTTTTTAGAGACAAAGTCTCACTATGTTCCTCATACTGGTCTCAAGGTCCTGGACTCAAGTGATTCTCCCTGCCTCAGCACCCCCAAAGTGCTGGAATTGCAGGCATGAGCAACCATGCCTGGCGAGTTTTATCTTTGGCCGAAATCCAATTTAGTGATGTAGCAAGCATCATTTAATATAAAAAGTGTACAGTTCATATTATTAGCAATTGTATTGTGCAATTTTATATTAGTTATGGTCTTGAAGGACATTGACAATCTGTTCAGAAAGACATATCTACGTTTTTCAACCACAGATGACATCACTCTAACTTTCCTTTGGTTTAAATGCTTGATTCTTTGCTTACAAAATTTCTGTTTTGAACAATTATGGTGACAGAGTATATTTGTGATGCTGTTTTCTTAGAACACTATTATCAGATAGATCAGCCATAATATTCACAAATTTTTGATCTCTATTGTAAGGCTGTAATTTTCCAAAATAATATAGAAAAGGAGAAAAAGGTAGTAGATTGCATGATTACTGAGATGAACCCTGTACCAGTGAGAAAATAAA